CTCCAGTAATAAGTTACAATCTCAGAAACCCACAGGACTTCTACTGTCCTACAGGGTCCCCGTGAGTCAGAATTGACTTGATGGCAGAGAGCGTGGTTTGTTGTTGCTGTCTTAAATAACTTATAAAGCACAGTCTGTCCAAGAGAAATATACCATGAGGCACATAAATAATGTTAAATTCCTAATCGTCACACAAGAATCAAACTGACTACATCTGTGGACAGAAGATGAAGGAGCTCAATATTATCAGACAGAACAAGGCCAGGGGCTCACTGCAGAGAAGACTATCAACTGCTCATATACAAGTTCAAGTTGAAGCTTAAGATTGAACAAGTCCATGAAAGTTAAAGTGAAACCCTGACTATATCCAACCTGAATTAGAGACCATCTAATAATAAAAAATGGATTTGACATAGTGAGTACTCTTGACTAGCTAAGTTGTGGAAAAACATCAAGGACATCATCTGTGAAGAAAGCAACAGGTCATTAAACAAGGCAGTAGAGAAAGAAGAGACTAACGCGGTGTCAGAGGAGATTCTGACATTTGCTCATACAGAGTCGCTAAAGTGAATTGCAGAAATGATGACACTAAAGAAATGATGACACTAAAGAGCGGATTTTGAATGGTAGATGGCCAAGAAAATAATCATGAAATATGCCAAGACCTAGAATTAGAAAGCCAAAGAGGAAGGGCAGTTCTCAAGGTGAAAGAACTGAAGATAAAATCTTACCTCAAGTTGGAATACTGACAGGTTCTATGCGTGAAGTATCAAACAACTTGGGAAGCATCAAAAGAAGAGGGAAGGAATACTACCACTGTACAAACAGATTGGTCTACACTCAACCATTCCAGAGTAGCATGATTGAGAATGGTAATGAAGGAAAAAGATCGAAGCTGCACTAAAGGCCTTAGTGGAAAACACGGCTCCAGGAATTAATGCTCCAGGAATACCAAATGATATGTTTCAGCAATAATGATATGTTTCAGCAATGCGGAAAGTGCTCACTCATCTAAAGCAAGAAATTTGGGAAAAAGCACCCTGGCCAACCAACTGTAGATCTGTATTTGCGCCCATTCCAAAGAAAATGGGTCCTTTCTTTGGAATGATAAAAGTATTGCACCGTATCATTAATATTACACATAAAATTATGCTAAAGGTAAATTTTCAAATAGTTGCAGGAGCACAGACAGGAAACTGCCAGAAATTAAAGCTGGATTCAGACAAAGACGTGGGATGAGGGATATCATTGCTGACATCAGATGGATCTTCACTGGAAGCAAAGAATACCAGGCTGTTTACTTGCCTTTTATTGACTGTGCAAAGACATTTGAGTGTGTGGACCATAACAAACTGAGAATTACATTGGGAAGAATGGAAATTCCCTAGTACTTAATAGTGTCCCTGCAGAACCTATACATATCAAGAGGTAGTTGTTTAAACAGAGTAAGA